GACTCCAAGTCTAAGTTGTAAATGTAAACACGGGGAATGTACACGGCGGGATGACTAAATAGAGCACGGTGACTCCAATTATAAGTTGTAAATGTTAACGGGAAGTTAGTTGTTAGTGAAGGAGAAAGAAAAGGTGGGAAAATGTGAAGTTGGCTCGCCAAGACGTCGCATCTTGTGCCTACGTATTCTCATCGAGAAATCAGAGCGTTCGTAGTTCCCCTAGCTAGGTGGTGAGGAACTCTTGACTGTGGTCAAGGCTCCCGGGGGATATAAGCATTCATAGAGAAGTACTTACTTGGAGTGCGGCGACTCCTGGATCTTCGTTTAGATTGTTATGATAAAGAATGTCCACGGCGGGACGCTAAACATGAGTACGGCGACTCAGATCCTAAGGTTAGGATAAAGGGTAAAGGATTTCCACGGCGGGACGCTAAATATGAGTACAACGACTCAGATCCTAAGGTTGGGATAAAGGGTAAAGGTAAAGGATATCATATGTAAACCATCAATGTCACAACAATGTAAACAAAAGGTTCAAAACCTCATGGGGATAATCAAAAGTTTTTAAAGGTGAACCACCTAAATATGTACAAACAAAGTTGAAATTCAAACATAAATGCCCAAGAAAGCTAACAATCGATGTTCATAATCTCAAATTAAAAACTCAAAGAGAATGAAATCCAAATGTTTGAAATAAAGAAGGAAAGATAGGAGGGTGAAAACTCTAAAAGGGGTTATAACTTGCTCATAATGAAAAGTGTTTCTAAAATAGGATTTTTAGAATTATTTAAACATTATATAGAAATATGTTACAACACAAGAATTTTGCAAAAAGAACCACTTAAAAATGATTTAAAATGGAGAAGTTATGTGGTTTTTAAGTTTGTGAACAAAACATAAAAATCTAAATGATAAAAAAATGCACATGGTAATACAATGAATCAAACAAATTTGATTATTTAAACATGTTAAAAAACATGTATAAATAATACAAGATCAATATCACAAGAAAAATCAAGTTACAAGTTGAAAAAGTTTAAGAACATCATGGTAAAAACCCTAAAAATAGTCATGGTAGCATGTGAAATGCAAATGGAAAGTTCACATTTATGAGTTTTAGGTTTACCTCTTGAAGAAAGATTAAGCAATAAGAAAACCAGAGATCTTGAAGCTCTTCCAAGATCTTCAAATGTTTCTAGGATTATGAATAGATGCTCCAAACAACCTCCAAGCAAGCTAGTGGACGAAATGCCTTGTAAATGAAGGAAAATCTCCAAAATCCAAAGATTTCAAAGACCAACTCACTAGAACCTTGTTACATAAATATGGAAGTGATTTGGATAGCTTCAATACATCATATTTGATGTTTTTGAAGTGTTTCTTGAGTTGGAAGAAGTTTGAAAATGGTTTTGAAAAGTGTTTTACAAAAGTAAATTTTGAGGGATTTTGTAAACTTAATGAGATTTTGCAAGAACTTGTGATTGTGTAAGGAATGAAGTTCTAGCTGGTTTCTAGCATGAAACTTGTGTGTTTGTGATGTAGGAAGTGAGTTCTATTTATAGCCAAAAGCCTTGGATCAAGGTATGGGTAAAAGTGAAGCAAATTGCCAATTTTAACCTTCCATCATGAAAATCTTTGAGTTTTCCAATGCAATCTTCATCTTTCTCTTTAAGCCACTCTACTAAGATATTATCCATGCCCTATAGATTTTTTCATCATGCTTAATAGGATAGGAGGTGACTTGTTGAATTAAAGTTGATGATTTGACAAGGGTAGCCACCTTTTTTCTCTTTCTTCACTATTCACTTTTGCAACTTGCATTAAATAATGATTTCCTTTAATCTTTGTGCCATTTTCGTGGGAATTGATGTACAAATGTTCATTATCAATATAAACATCATAAATGAGGCTTAGTCTTTGATTATCATCGATTTGGAGAGGTTTTAGAATCAAAAAACTCATGCTGACCTGGTTTTGCCAATGTGAGCTTTTTGCCAACTGGTGGACATTGGTTCTCTCTAACCAGGAAGAGTTATGGAATCCACCTGTACTTTTTAGAAAGCTCCAATTAGGTACTACAATATTTATGTTTGTGTTAGGAACTCATTCCTCTTGAAACTAGGTCAAAAACCCTTGTGTGATTAAGGAGTTATGGCTTTGCCCTTTTCAAAACCTTAATTCTCCAACTTTTCGATTACTTCTCAATTCTTGATCAATTGGTCACAAAAATTCATGATTATATATTAAATAATGTTGGGAACATAGTTGGCTTCAATTTTAGGTTAAAACCATGTTGGTCAATGGGTTGACTTTTCAGTCAGACGAACCGAATGATCGAAAACCTCTAAATCGACTGTTGGTGTCATGAGTCTTCTGAGGCCTTGAAACTTCTTTAGTGGACTTCCCTTATCCATATGAGCTTCATGGACCATAACTCCATTATTGGAACACCTTTTAAATCAAAATTCAAATTACTGTTGACTTTTCCTGAATAGAAACCCTAATCGGGTGTCTTGGATTGCACTGTTCTTGATCTTTGGGTGACAAACTCAAATTTGACTCATACTTGACCCAATGTAGTATCTTTGATGATGTGGAAAATTGTTTCATGGAGAATAAATCTAATACATTGACTGATTAAACCATCGAAACCTCAATTCCTGACTGTACTGAACTCTAATTCACCTGTATCTTAACAAAGACAAACTTGAAATAGGTTATGGTCAACAGTGATTAATTGACGATATAAAATTATTAACATTATCGGTGTATATCTCATTTTTTCACACGCACGCACGCACGCGCGCGCACACACACACACGCGCGCGCGCACGCACACACACACACACACACACACACACACACACACACACACACACACACACACACACACACACACACACACACACACACACACACACACACACACACACACACACACACACACACACACACACACACACACACACACACACACACACACACACACACACACACACACACACACACACACACACACACACACACACACACACACACACACACACACACACACACACACACACACACACACACACACACACACACACACACACACACACACACACACACACACACACACACACACACACACACACACACACACACACACACACACACACACACACACACACACACACACACACACACACACACACACACACACACACACACACACACACACACACACACACACACACACACACACACACACACACACACACACACACACACACACACACACACACACACACACACACACACACACACACACACACACACACACACACACACACACACACACACACACACACACACACACACACACACACACACACACACACACACACACACACACACACACACACACACACACACACACACACACACACACACACACACACACACACACACACACACACACACACACACACACACACACACACACACACACACACACACACACACACACACACACACACACACACACACACACACACACACACACACACACACACACACACACACACACACACACACACACACACACACACACACACACACACACACACACACACACACACACACACACACACACACACACACACACACACACACACACACACACACACACACACACACACACACACACACACACACACACACACACACACACACACACACACACACACACACACACACACACACACACACACACACACACACACACACACACACACACACACACACACACACACACACACACACACACACACACATATATATATATATATTTATATATTTATATATATGAAAATGCTACTTTTGATATCAAATTCTTACAAATACATATTATGTCATTGTTCACAAAAATGATAAATTAAAAATATGTTTTTAAAAAGATTCAATTTTTTACAATAATATTAATAAATATAAAACAAATGTTATTAAAAAATTTTAATAAATTAAAAATATGCTATGATAAAACTCGATATAAAAAATGAGATTGATGAAAAATCAAAGTAATAATAATGAAATCAGTTTTTGATTAATTTATAAGTATATTTTTTATATATCATTTTTAATTATTATATGATTGCTTTTTTTTTTTAATTTAGGTTTATTTTTTCAATTAGAAGGAGATCTCCAGATTGATTGAGCTGAGTTAGAGTTAATATAGTTCATAATTTAGTTATTGAATGTAAATCAAATTTAAAGACGGGTTAAAACATTTCAAAATTTAATGTTTTAAAATAACTAATGTTATTTATTTAATTAATTAATTAATAATAAAAAGGATTAATAAATTATAAATAAAATAAATAGTTATTAACATACATTTTGCGATTAATATCATGATAAAATTGATTAATGACAAAATTTTATATTAATATTACAAAATACGTTTAAAAAAAAAACTACTTTTATAAATAACATTTTTTTATTTTAAAAAAAAAACAGCCTCCACCATAGATTTGGTGTAAATATGGTGTCAAATTTAAATCTACCATATTCGGTTGGACAAACTAATAAGGTCTTCAACCGGAGAGACATTACATGATTTGGAGTTTGGAGAGAAAGTTTAGATGATACTACAAGTCACTGAAATTTTGCAGGTTGTATAACCATAGCAACATTCGTTACATATATTGTTCCCCAAGAAAGGATAACTGAGTCTTCAAAAGGGAAATTTGCTTTTATTATATCAATTGACTTGGCTCAACGTGTTGTCAAAAGCATGATAGAGCTCATACAATGTTTAAAGACCTTCCAAAGCAATTTGAACGGAAAAATCAGTGCCAGAAAATATCAAATATGAAGTAGAGAAACGTCTCTTTATGTCTTGATCTTCAAGGCATGAAGATCAACATGTCATAAGTTAGAGCATGAGTTTCCAGAACTCGTCCGTCGTAGATTCAATCTATTTGGCTGACATGGTTTGGCTCATTTAAGATATTTTGTTAGTTGTCCAATCCCCCAATTTCCGCTAATGGTTTCATAACTCTTTCGCGAACTTGTGTTGGTCGCCCAAACACGCCCATTTTCTCTGTCAAATTCTGAATGGCCTCATGTCTATTTGCTAACTCCATAAGAACCTTGATTCTCTTAAATGAAACATTGCTTGGCTTTTGCCCCTTCTCAATCATTTCCAAGAAACATTTCTCTGCCTCCAACAACTTCCCCATATCACAAAGCATGTCAAACAGCACATCAGAAACCAAGGTACACGACCCAAAACCCTTCTCCACCATGTCACCCCATAACTGCAATGCCATCTCCACCTTTTCATGTCTCTTAAACAACCTTATCAAGAACATACAAGACTGCGTATTCGGATGGCATCCTTCAACCATCATCCTCTTGTATAAGTTCCACGAACTCTCTAAATCATTAGACCAGTAAAAAACCCGAAAGAACAAGTTATACGTAGTTGCATTAGGACTCAAACCTTTCTTCGTCATCTCATCCACCAATTCATAAGCATTACCAAGCCTCTTTGCAATGCAAAAGTTCCTAATTGCAGCATTATACGCCGGAACATCAGGGTAAACACCATACTCCTTCATTTCCTTCAAAACATCTCTACCTTTATCCGGCTGACCAATCAACCCCAACCCACCAATAATACTAGTATAGGTAATCACATCCGGCGACAAATCCCGCTCACGCATTTCATCAAGCACCTTATAGGCCTTCTCAATTTCCCTCCCTTTACAGTAAACATCCACCAAACTATTATACGTAACAACATCTGGTGTAACCCCCATTTCCTTCATCTCAGTGAGAAACAATTCAGCATCTTCAGAAGTCTTCCACCCAGAAAGAAGAATGTTAAAAGTTTGTAAATTTGGGCGAAAACTATGCTTCAAACTATGATAAACATTTCTGGCATCCGTCATACTTTTCTCTTGACATAGCGTTCTCAACAATGCATTGAAACAATTAGTACCGTAATCCGGAACAATCTTCTTGAACTTTCTAAACGATTCAACAGTTTGTCTAACGGAGCAAACTTTAGCAACTCTACCCAAAACAATCATAACAGTTCGAGGGGTTATAACAGTTTGATCTTTTCGCTTCGTTTCGATTAGAACATCCCAAACGTTATCGAACATACGGCTTCTACCGAGGATATAGAGCATTGTGTCGAAGGAAAAAGCGGTGTGGTAAAACCCTTTTCTTCTTCCGGTGTAACGGAAAAATTCGAGGGTTTGAGAGGGGTTTGCGTGGCCAAAGCGAACCCTTTTGAGGACTTGATCGATTAATTCATTTGAGAGGAAAATTCCGGAGGATATTAGGGATTGTTTGAGGTCTTCGGGGGAAGAGGTGGTTGTGAGGAGAGTGTAGACTCTGCGTACGTCGTCGTTTGGATTGAAGCTGAAGAGGCGGCGGAGGGTGGCATTTGAAGGAAGAATGGAGGTGAATGGTGATTCGGATTTGCAGTGCCTTAGGAACATTTGAAATTTGTGAGGATGTTTAGTTAGTGAGACAGTGGTGAGTTCAGAAAGATGTAAAATCAATTAGCAGCTGTTTAGGATCGATGAAGCTGTTTTCTCCTTGTGTTTGTCGCGGTTTCTGTCATTCTTTTAATATGAGATGATTTGAAGAGTTATATATATATATATATATATATATATATATATATATATATATATATATATATATATATATATATATATATATATATATATATATATATATATATATATATATATATATATATATATATATATATATATATATATATATATATATATATATATATATATATATATATATATATATATATATATATATATATATATATATATATATATATATATATATATATATATATATATATATATATATATATATATATATATATATATATATATATATATATATATATATATATATATATATATATATATATATATATATATATATATATATATATATATATATATATATATATATATATATATATATATATATATATATATATATATATATATATATATATATATATATATATTAAATTAAGAGATTTAAATGAATTTTGAAATTAAGATATAAAATTAAAAAAAGTATTAAATTTATTTCTTTTTATGAAGAAAAATTGAGTCAACTTCTGGTAGAAGGGAGAGAGATGAGGCCAAACACTTTAATTGTCAGAGCTTTTGACGGGTCTAGAAGGTAAGTTATTGGCGAGGTGGATTTACCCATTAAGATTGGACCGCATTTGTTCACAATTACTTTCCAAGTGATAGATATCAATCCTGCATATAGTTGCTTATTGGGTCGACCTTGGATTCATGCCGCAGGGGCAATTACTTCTACATTGCATCAGAAATTGAAATTCATGTACGACAATCAATTGATCATCGTTTGTGGTGAAGAGGACTGGCTAGTAAGCGAGTTATCATCCTTCCGATATGTTGAGACTGAAGAAGGCATAGTTGAGGTGTCGTTGCAATGTCTTAAATTCGAAGATGTCAGCTCCGCTTCTGTCAATCTAAGTAGATCACTGAAAATGACCATGTCATAATTCAAAAATGCCAAAGAGACCATTGAGAAAGGTGCCTTTCCTGGCTGAGGGCATGTGTTGGAGGTGTGTCGCTAGTTGACTTAGGGTTGACCAGACAAAAACCCTAATTGCAACAAGGTGGTAGAGAAACATGATCGCTTTGAACTGGGTTATCATCCTGATCAACAAGCTAGTTCGCACAGTCAAAAGAAGTGTAACTCGACCAAGTTCAATAGTACTGCTTTCCAGAAGGGGGATATAGTGGCAGTTATTGATGATGTTGGTCCTAGTAACCAAAGTGCAAGCTTTGTACGCAAGTGTCCTCCTGGCTTCAAGCTCAACAATTGTACGCAAGTGTCCTCCTGGCTTCAAGCTCAACAATTGGACATCTATTATGGTTCCTATGGTTTTTCCCACAAACATGTAATACATTTTACTTTCTTAATCCTTCGTCCTCGCCCGAGACGAGTGGATAGCTTGTAAAGGGCCTCGCGCTTTTGAAATATTATGTGATCAATAAATAAAAGTTTGTTTGCATGCTCTATTTTCTTTCTTTATTTTACTTTTTCAAAAATAACAAATGGTAAAAGTTTCTTTTAATTTTTCACCTTTCAAAATAGCTCATTCTAAACAAATTTATAAACATGCAGAACAAATAAATGCATTGATAATAACATGGTAAACATCCATCATAATTATGGGATCCAATTAACCAAGCCGGAGAACATGGTGAGGAAGATTGCGAATTACCGGGTGAACTATAAAGGCTCCTTGAGCACGAGTAGAAAGAGATTCAGCCACACAAAGAACCAATGGAAGTTATCAATCTTGGTATTGGTGATGTCAGAAAAGAAGTCAAGGTTGGGGCATCCCTTGCTAAGCATGTACACTCCGAGATGGTCAAGTTATTGAACGAGTATGTCAATATCTTCGCCTGGTCTTATCAAGATATGCCCGGGTTGTATACCAACATCGTTGAACATCACTTGCCACTCAAGCCCGAATGTCCTCCTGTCAAGCAAAAGCTCAGAAGGACCAGACCCGACATGGCACTCAAGATCAGAGAAGAGTTAAAGAAAAAATTTGATGTTGAGTTTCTAGCCACTTCCGAATATCTTGATTGAGTTGCAAATATCGTCCTGGTTCCTAAGAAAAATGGGAAAGTCAGAATGTGTATGGATTATCGAGATCTTAATAAGGCTAGTCTGAAAGATGATTTTCCTCTGCCTCATATTGATCTCTTGGTGGACAACACTGCGTAGTCCTTTGTCTTTTCATTTATGGACGGTTTCTCAAGGAATAATCAGATCAAGATGTTCCCAGCTGATATGGAGAAGACCACCTATATCACGCCATGTGGTACATATTGTTCCAAAGTAATGCCATTCGGTTTGAAAAACGCAAGGGCAACATACCAACGCGTTGCCACCGAGCAATCCTTCCATAGACAACATGGCGTGTTAACTGAGTATGACATCCAACATGTTACCCAGAAAGTAATAAAAGGGAGTGTCTTATCTGACTACCTACCTTGCTCATCAATCTGTAGAAGGTTATCAACAAATGAAGTTTGACTTTCTAGACAAGGATATTATGTTTATCAGAGATTATGAAACTCCAGACCCTGACATAGGACCCGAACCAGGTTTTCAAACAGGTTTTCAATCTGTGGAATTGGTGCTATCCTCATCTCTCAAACAAGTTTTCATCTTCCCTTCACCGCCAGATTATGCTTCAAATGCACCCACGATATGGCTGAATACGAAGCATGTATCTACAGAATTGAAGCGGCAATCGACAAGAGAATCAAGATTCTTGACGTCTATGGAGATTATCCCCTAGTGATTGGCCAAGTCAGAGGAAACTTTGTGACTCGGGATTCCAAGCTGGTTCCGTACCAAAAGCACATCACGAAATTGATCCCCTATTTTGATGAAATTTCTTTCATAATATCCCTAGGGAAGAAAATCAACTAGCTGATGCTCTTGCCACCCTGGCATCCATGTTTAAAGTCAAGTGGAAGAATGAAGCATTTTCTATCTACATTGATTATTTGAACGAACCAGCATACTGCTTAGCAATCGAGGATGAGTCTGATGACAAGCCTTGGTTCTACGAGATCAAAAGATATCTAGAAAAACAAGAACTCCCAAGGGTATTACTATCACTGACAAGAAAGCTCTCAGACGGCTATAGGCCAAAATTTTCTTGAGTGGTGGTATACTGTATAAGAGGAATTATGATTCTATGCTGCTCAGATGTGTGGATAGACACAAAGCAGACACGATCATAAGGTCCATACATGAGGGTTGTGATGGTGTACAAGCAAAAGGACCTATCATGGCTAAGAAGATCCTCTGAGCTGGTTATTACTGGAAAAAATGGAGGTAGATTGTTACATTTTTTCCAAAAGATGTCACAAATGCCAAATCTATGGCGACAAGATCCATGTGCCACCAACTCCTTTGAACGTTTTGACTTCTCCCTGACCCTTTTCCATGTGGGGTATTGATAAGATTGGAATGATCGAGCCGATAACTTCCAACAGTTATCGCTTTATTCTAATTTCTATCGACTACTTTATCAAGTGGGTTAAAGTTGCTTCTTACGCAAATGTTACACGACAGCGGTTTCCAGATTTATCAAGAAAGATATAATATATTACTATGGTATTGCTAGCAGTATTATCATTAACAATGCAAGCAACCTGAGCACCATAACTCTTCACAATATCGGCCCAAAGTGAATGGTGTCGTCGAAGCAGCAAACAAAAACATCAAGAGGATTGTCCAGAAGATGGTCAAGACTTACAAGGATTCACATGAAATGCTTCCCTTTACATTATATGGCTATAAAACTTCAGTTCGTACTTCCACTAGGGCAACTATGTATTTGCTTGGGTACGGTATAGAGACTGTTTTACCCATTAAAGTCAAAATTCCTTCGCTCAGAGTCATCATGAAAGCAGATCTTGATGAAACTAAATGGGTCCAATCCAGATACAACCAGTTGAATCTTATTGAAGAGAAGCGCCTAATAGCTTCCTTCCATGGTCAATTGTATCAGAGACGCCTCAAGTGAGCTTTTGACAAGAAAGTTCTCCCTCGAGCATTCCATGCAGGCGAAATTATGCTCAAAAGATATTCACCTGTTCACTCAGATCCACGAGACAAGTGGACTCCCAATTACGAATGATCCTTTGTTGTCAAGAAGGCCTTCTTAGACGAGTTGCCACTACCCGTGAACTCCGACGCAATAAAAAAATATTATGCCTAAGAAGATGAATGATGAGCCCGCTAGATTGGCATCTGCAAAGGCAATCTAGGCAAAAATGGGCGTCCCGATGGACAAAAAAAATAAATGTCCATGCAAAAGTTAGGAAAAAAAGCAACAAAAAAATACCGCTAAGTCGAAAACCCGAAAGGACGACTTAGGCCAAAATGGGTATCCCGGTGGATGAAAAAAAATAGAAAAAATTTCCAGGAAAAAATTAGGGATAAAGGCATTTGACTGCGAACACTTGAACCTATCTTCATCATAGCTGAACCTCAGACGGTAAAAGAGCAATCGAGTTGTCGTCAATTGGTGCAAAGTGTTGGAACCTAGACTTATAGTGGATGGTAGACAATGTTGTATCAATGCAAATTTAATTTCCCATTGTCATTTACTTTTGTTTTTCAATTTATTGTAGATTTCCTCATCAAGGATTTTTGCATCCTTGTACACACCTTATGTACAAATATTTCCATATTCAATAAAATTTATCATTTGATTTCTCATTTGTCTCTTTTCAGTATTTTGTTTACCAAATAAACGATTACTTGTGATCACATAATAGTATAAAGCGTTGAGAATAACAAAAAGCTAAATCAATAGAGAAAGTATTATGTAATGCATACTTTACCAGAAATTCCTAAGGGATGATCGACAATTCCCATTGCAAGCTTA